TCTTCTGGCCGTAGGTGACTGGCAATGGATGGTTCACAATAGTAGCGTTGGGGTAATCAGCCGACATAGCATATGGTAGCATATGCATAGCAGTCATATCAGTGAATGCCACCCGACTGGTGATACCATATGCAGTAGTGTCAAAGGTCGCCGTGTTGTTGCCCAATAACGACTTAGAGAATGAGGTCACCGCTTTGCATATCTTCTGGTTCATCGGTGCTAGGGGATCTACCTCCTTCTTAGGCTTTGCCATGAAGTACCATGGTTCCAAATTGAGGCACTCTATGAATTCAAAAATGCCCAGTTTCTCCTCGGACAAATCAACAAGCACTTCCTGATCATCATAGACAGTTCGCAACACATTAGGATTGTCATGATGCCAATAACCACTAACATGAGTCGACGGTCCAAGCTCATACGGACTGCTTGTCGGGCCCAACACCAACAAGGCCGGGTCCTTAAGGGCTAATGATGCCTTTTGTAAACCAAGCAATGCCAACAGGACCAGGAAGGGTATGATGAAACCGGCCAGAGTCGCAATCCACTTGCGATAGCCGTAGAGTATACGGCGAAGTGACAAAGCCAGAAACTGGTTAAGGATGTTGCGTTTCACCGGTATGTCGGCATGGACCTTCGTATGCTGGGATTTTATATCTTTGCTCGTGGGGTCCTCAGACTTCGAACTAACCTGAGGGGGGAAAATTTGCACATGGTCAACTACATGTGGAAAAATGAAGAAATTTTGGGAATTTCTCATGGGTTTCTGTACTCAAATTTGTATGTAAAATGCCATAATTACCGAAGGAACTGCTTGACTCAGCTGAGGGAGGCAAACATAAAATATTCCAACGCTGCGCAGTAAAATGGTTGAATTTATCATATTCCCGTCGTCATCGAATAGGTTTTGTAATTCTGGCCCTTACGTAGTGTCTTTATCGGGACGGCAACACTACACACGTGGTCAACTACGTGCGTTAGCGACTATATGAAAACTCTGAGAAAATTTTGTTATTTTTCTGCGAACTTCTCTCCTATACTTGAGGGAGTTCCCGAACTGAGCTGAGGAAACCAACACATGTTCATATCAACGCGAGCTCCCTTACCTTCAAGAACACCTCCTCAAGATTGGTGACCGAAACACCATAGGACGATATCCCTAGCGAGCCCTTCTCAGCATCCAGAGTCTTGAACATAGGCCCAAACTCATCAACAGCCTCAAAGGGTATTCGCAAACCGAGCTCAAGGCCAATACTCGACACTACTGTGACCGGATATTCGTCGCTCAAATGCCCCTCAACACACTTGAGTATGGGCTCGTCGGAAACACGCTCTGCCGTTTTAGCAATCGTTACATTGTACCCGCTACCTAAAACAACAACTCACTGAGAGCAACTTTGTCGAATAGCTCACCATAGTGACGCTTGAGAAAGCTTGTGGAACCATAAGCCAGGAGTTTCCCATTGCCGATGATACCAACACGGTCAGCGAGGATATCAGCCTCGTCCATGTAGTGTGTCGTAACGCACATGATACGTCCTTCTCGTTTTGTACGTAGGAAATCCCACATGCTACGACGAGCACTGGGGTCCATACCACTAGAAGGCTCATCTAGTATGACCACCTTGGGATTGCCAACGAACGCCACACCAACTGACAACTTTCTTTGCATGCCACCTAATCAAAACAAACACGTCCAACGATAACGCTTACTTGACGATACAGTATTGAATTCTAATCGATCATTACGATGCTATATATTTTCATATAATAATAATATCAACTATATATAAAACCAGAAACCCATTTAGCTTTGAGAGATAACGCCCTTGAGGGTTTGATAACAATGGGAGAAATACTCCTAATGTGATGACGTTTACATGGGAACTGATTGAAGAATGTGTTCCTAGCCATACGTGGAAATTCAAATGAGTTCCCCAGTACATCATAGGTTTCTGGATGATTACCGTATAAAACTGGACTATAAAA